ATTTAGTCAGACTAAATTAGGAGACGTTAATTAACCAGCGCAAGGAATCCTAGATTTAATGGTCCTGTAAATAATCCTTTTAAAATACTGGTCTAGCATCCAGAATATGCAGGAGAATGGAGAAGACATCCTACTAAAGAAGTCAACTTGTCATCAATACACACACTTCCCCCAGGGGATTGTATTATGCCATGTACGTTGGATGAAGCTTCAAAATGGTCATCAATGCCATCTCCAAAACTAAACAAATATGAGATATGACAAGGTTACGAACCTAATTTTGTTTAAACCCATTTAGTCCTATGAATGAAAAGGTGGTCTAAGTGGAAAAATGTAAATATTTCAAAGGAATCTCTTAATCAAGATGTATGGAATGAATGTACCCATCTAAAAATGATGAAACTATTCATTCCATTGACTGTTGTCAAATAACAGTGTGATAAACATGGTAAACATTGTCCTTTACAGTAAAGTTATACACATTGTTTGGTACGTAAGTTTACACAATCATACAAATAAGCATGAACAATATACAATTTTCTGTATAACTAGAAACTGGATATTTGTAAATAGAAAACAAATTTTATGTATTGAGCAAGACTAGAGATCTTTAACCATTGATCAATTTCCTGGACCCGTAAATTCAGGTACTTATTCATGTCATAACTGACCAACGGTCATACCAGATTGTAGGGTGCCATAGCTGTATACTAGGTCAAAAATATTACACAACTTGTTATAAATTGGATGAATATTATCCTAATACAAGAGATTTCTGGTATTTCAAACATATTTAAAATCCTGTTCTATGTCCTCAGGACCAGAATCATGTTCTTGGTACTATACATTCATATTTTAATTCCAACGACCACTTGATTGGCTGGTGATTCCAAATTCTATAACACCATATTGCATATTCTTCATCACTGTATAAGCTACCTATAATATGAACCAATCCTAAATTTTAGGACTCTGTCCCACTGTAACACCTGCTCATATAGTTATATGACCCAAAGACGGTCATTATGATTTGCGTGACATTCAACAGCTTGAGTATATGATTGGAACATATATATATATATATATATATATATATATATATATATATATATATATATATATGTCCACAGTAGCTGCACTTGTTCCTTATCAGTCTATTACCCATCATTGGCTCTAAAGAAAGTTGCATTACTATAATGCACATGTTCAGAACATTTTTTAGAATCATATACTCTGGAAACAGAACATTCCCATGAATACTTAACATTATCATCATTCGAAGCCTCAAACAGTGTTTCAGAATTTGAAAAGAATAAGTCTAGGATAAATAAAGACAGTGACTGCTACACGAAATATAGAGCACAATGCCAGAGAACAACCTCCAAAAGGTTGGAAATCATAAGTTTTCTTCATAAACCCAGACAAACTTCATAAACTTACCATGGTTAAACTTATAAGTAAGAGCAAACAGTATGTCAATCTGGACCTCACTTAACTTTCGTCCGTCCAAGTAATAAAAAGCAGGGAAAATAATTTCCCCCTTTCATTATAAATGGCTCATAGCACCCAAATGCACAATGTACAATCTACTAATGCTCGTTAATCAATCTAATGGTGTAATATGCATTAAATCTGATAACTAATGCTAAAGAGTCATGACTTGTTAGAAAAGCAAAAGCATAGCAATGAGGTGAAGCTGTTCAAGAATTTAAGGACACAGGTGTCTCATTTAGATTTTATAAAATTCCAAAGACAAAAGTGATCATTCTCAAACCTGAAAATGGGAGCTGTTGATGCTTCGAGCAACTTGTCTAAATAAAGGCACCATGCAGCGCTGAAACTCCTCAGACTGTGTGGCTTCCAAGACATCTTCTAGTTCTCCAAGAAAGAGAACTTCCTTGCCGCAGTTGGTTACAGGCCAGTACTTCAGCAATCCCCTAATCACAATATCTGCCAATCTATAATCTTTCTCTACGAATTGTGTAATGCAGTAAGATAACTGCTGATGATATGATGCGACACACTTGGCCTTGTGCAATGGAATAAGAGCCCGAACAAGGAACAATTTATGCTCTTCTTTCATTGGCAGAGCGAACCCATTTATAATACTTCCAAGAATCTCTAGCAACTCACAAATCCCACTGTGCCTCTCTGTTTCAAATAAAAACCGGTAAAATACATCATTTATCGCTTTCCTAATAAATGGGCGATGCACCATGAATTTCCCATAAATGCGGTGAAGAATAGTCTTCAAGTATTCACGCTCTCTGGCGTCCTCAGAATCGAATAAATCCAGTAATTTTAGAACAAAAGAATGATCAAGATATCGCTTGGCTATCTTAGTGTCCATATCAGGTGATACCACATATCTCAAAAGTAACTCATACACAAGTTGCAAGTGAGGCCATGATGGGTCCATAAACATTTCATCCTCATCAGGGTCACCACTCTCTGACCCTGTATTCTCATGCATTGCAGGCGGTAAACACCGAAAAACATTGATTGATATCATTTTCACTAACCCTTCCTGCATTATTTCATTCATTTTAGAAGACCCTGATTGCACTAATTCAATCAGCTCATTGAGAGTTTGCCTCTTAATCTCCTTTTCTCGGGCATTCTTCAAAGTGTCTGAAAAATCAAAGGAAACGCAACAAATTTGGAGCTTTCTGATGAACAAAGCATGCCTTTCAGACAGCGGAATTTCTTTCAACAAGGGTAATACTTCAACCACTCCAGAACTGTGTCCCAGACAGTCCAAAGACAAAGGTTGAGATGGTGCACCAGCCGTTCTTGAAGCATGATTAACAGTAACATCAGGATTAGGCGCTGCATTGTTGGTAGGTATTGGGGTCTCAGCTCCATCCGATTTTGAGGCCTTTCGATGTCCTTTTTTTCTGATTTTATTGAACATACTTTTAAACCACTACTAACACTATATCCTCCCTTCCTCTACTGCTTCTTCACTATTCCACATGAAACCTAAGATATGCCCCAAACATCAAAAAACTTCACAAAGCCTTTTCAAGAATAAACTAATAAATAACGTTAACAACGCATAACAAACATAATAACACAAAAAGGGAATCTTTTTTTTTTTTTTTTTTTGCTGGTCTATAATGATAGTAATTTTTTGTGCCCGCTGCTTTTTAATTCATATTTCAACAGAAATAACAAAAGGGTCAGTAAGAAATACCTCAAGGGATTGAGAATCGACTGTTTAGAAGAAGTCGATGATCAATGAATTTAATGTAAACCCTGAAAATTAAGACATAAAAATGGCACAGAAATGCAGGAATTACAGTCAAATTTCTTGGGGAGAATGAATCAAGAATTACACACTGGAGTGTGTGTAGAGAGCGAAAGAATGAGTGGGATGAAAGCTAAAGAAAAAATTTTGGGATATTAGATTAAGATGAGAGAAGATTAGAGATCCGAAAAGGAAGGGGAAATCGTATGAGATGGAAAGCCCCAAACCATTTGAGTGCGCGCCTCCCAGTCCGAGCTCGCTGCAACAAATATGTATCAGTGTTTATTTATATTTCTTTCTATTTTTGTGGTTCTACTGTGTAAGTACATGTAAAGATTTAACTGCTGGACACTTGGATAGCACCTTCCTTTTTTCTTTTGCTTTACATTTTACTCCTCTTGCTTTTGGACCAATTTTAAGCACTTCTTTCCTTCCAGTATGAGATCTCTCTCTCTCTCTCTCTAACTAATAATAGCATGATAACACCTTATATTCGTTTGAATTTCATTTTTCAGAAAATTTCTTTAATCACTTTTTAATAATGTAACGTGTGTGATATAAAATTCTAAAAGATTTTCAAAATCATGTTCATCTAATCTTTACACAAATTGTTATTGTTTTACTTTGAGATGACTTAAATAACAATAAAGGGTCTAGTTTTAGAGATTAATATTCTTTATAGAAGTCAAAATCATTTTTCTATTAGGATTTTATTAGTACCAAGCACTAACAAATAGCAAGTGTATTAAGAAATCAAATTTGGGTTGCCCAGGACTTTAGATGGTGTTAGTAGTAGACTGGTAAGTCTATTATATGGACAATAGATTTTCAACCGAAACCCAGCCAATTACTTGCCTTCTGGAAAAATTTTCAATTCTTCAAGGTTAGAGATGTATTTAGCTGAATACGTAGTTGTTAGTAGTACTTTAGACAGTGATTGTATTTATGTTAAGCTCTCTACTCTCTCTCTCTCTCTCCCAACTTTTGGAGATTTGGTGCAACGAGAAATTTTAGAACTATTACCTTCGTTATTTCCTTTTTAAACATAGCAACTATTTATTTTCGGAAATTTCAAGTTTAGCAAGTCAAATCAGTAGGCAAATTTACAGTTCAGTTGAAATTCCCAATTATTGGCACAGTAATGACGCCGTACTTAGTAGTACCATCAAAATAGAACAGAGAACCGACGACGGAAATGCTCAATCAACACATCCAATATTTCTCGCACTTCGTCTCATCAGACGAAGAGTAACACAGACACGGTCCCATGATTCCACGTCCCACTTAACCAAACGGGCCCACTAGTCTCTGAGCTAAGCGTCCTAAAATACGTGGACCAGAAACTAGGATAGTAGAAAATCCCTCTAACCACCCAGAGGCACCCCCAACAATTCTGGCATCCAATATCTTTTGTTTACCTCCCACGACAGTTAGGCCAATCTTCTACAGCCCAACCCAAGCCACCTAATCCCCCTGCAACACACCAGAAGTCCAACCACATATCTTGAGAACTAGCTCTAAACAGAAAGTTCTCTCTAGGCACAAATGCCTGCATATTTAACCACTTTGTCTGCCAGTATCAGATTTTGTCTTCAGCTGCCAAGACTCCTCAGCGCCAGACTTTGTAAGGGTGCAGTTTTTCTACTGGCTAGCATTCTGGGGGAAAAACCTGCCAAGTAAAAGAGCACTCGGAGCCTTAAACCAAATTTCTGGAAGATAAAAAAAAAGTCACACATTGGCTGCAGTCTTTGAAACCCAGGGGCGTTTATGAACCGCAACAGGCCCATGCAGGGAAGTCGGGGAGGGGATTCATGAACCTTACTAATGAAAGTCCATAGAATTCATCAAAAACCGACAATTAGCTTTATATACAGCTGAAAAGTCATACAGCACTACTGAAAACATCCAGAAAATTGTCAAAGGTTTCATGGCTTTCTACACAACGGACAAAGATGAAGATATAGTTTCAAACCCCCAAAGTTTTTTAGAAGATTTTTAGTGAACAGTCACCATCTGTGCTTTGGTGCAAGGGCTTCTTAGCATCTAACCTGCAAACAATGCAACATAATAAGCACATAGAACAGAAAAATTAGATCACTCCAACAGGAGTGAGCACACAAACATTAAAGAAATGTGACATTTATGATCCTCTTTTATCAAACCAAAAGAATTTCTTTAAGAACATTTTTTAGTTCAATTACTTGAAAATTAAAATGTGCCTTCTTTAATTGAAATATAAAGAAAAAAAATTGAATGTTTAAAAAGCACATTCTCATTTTACTCTCTCTCTCTCTTCAGAATATTTCCAACCATGACATATGGGAGCTTAGTAGTAAGAGAACTACTTTTAACTGGTCAGGGCCCTTGCCCCTGACTCCTCCAACATTAGACTTGTACCTCCCAAATATTTTAACAGCAATTATCTCATAGTCCAACCTAAAAGGGCATGGGCATCAACAGCAGGAAAACAAGAAAAGGACAACATTATGCCGACAATTAAGTTGAATTTGCAGATATAATTTCAGCCAAAAAAGACACTTTGCCTGCAGTAAATTTGTTTTCCATGAAATGCTGTCAATTTGTTGTTCACATACCATTTCTCACAAATTCCTACCTTCCCTTCAAATCATTTTGCTAATAAATTTTCATCCTTAGTGAATCTTATGTGAAAGCTTCAATATGCTAAACACTGATTGATGTATCAAATATCCTATTAATCATCCAAATCAATTTTATTCCTGACAAGAAACATTTACTGGATGCCAAGAAATTGAGCTATCACCTAACTACATGACTAGAAGTTTCATTTAAGGACTCTCTCATAATTAAGGAGCCAATTTTAGATCCTGACTACAAGTTGATTGGGAAGATACTTAAGGCTCACTACTTGCCAACACCATCATCACAAAATGTAGCAGAAAGTTAACACAGTTTAGACTAGTATAGACCCAAGCAAGACGGATGAGCATATAAAGCAGAGTTTACCTTTCTAGTGCCAATTTTAGATGCTGACTACAAGTTGATTGGGAAGATACTTAAGGCTCACTACTTGCTAACACCATCATCACAAAATGTAGCAAAAAATGTAACACAGTTTAGACTAGTAGAGACTGAAGCAAGACGGACGAGTATATAAAGCAGAGTTTACCTTTATAGTGCAGTTACCAACCCCCTTTATCATTTCCATCCTTTGCCTGGCCCCAGGAGCTTGCCGGTGCTTTACCCCAAGCATCAGCTGTGCCAGCACCTTCCCCCTTCCCCATAGCCGGTTGGTTCCAACTAGATGATGTGGCTCCACCAGAAGAATTTGATGTTTTCCAATTATTATTTTGGCTATTCCAGCAACCGGAATTAGTATCACTTCCACTAACATCTTTGCTTAAACCAAGTCCTCCGGTACAGCCACCAGCTTGCTCAATGTCTCCACTTTCAGCAGGCTCCTTTGATTTATTCCCATCTGAACCAGCACCTTGCCACTGATTCGTATCACCAGCTTGCCAATTGCCTCCACTATTGTTGCTTACCCATCCACCAGCATTACTACAAGACCCATTTTTCCCAGAATTAGGCTTGTCACCACTAGCTACATCTTTAGCTCCATGATTCCAGCCACTAGATTGGGCACCGATCCCACCAGCACTATTGCTTCCCTTGTTCCACCCACCAGCTTGAGCACTATCTCTTCCACCAACAGCTGCCCAACCTGAATTCCCACTCTGCCACTGGCCTTTGCCATGAACTCCATCATCCCAACTGCCACCAGCATTATCGTTTCCTTTGTTCCATCCACCAGCTCGAGCACTATCTCCTCCCCCAGCAGCCACCCAACCTGAATTCGCACTCTGCCATTGGCCTTTGTCACTATCTCCATCATTCCAATTACCTCCACCACTACTACTTTTCCAGTCCACATCCTTGTTTGACATGTTATAGCGGTAGGACTTATCTTGATCAGAATCATTTTTATTCCAATCATCCCTCCTTCCACGTCCTCTTCCTCCAAAACCACCTCTGCCACGAAACCCCCCCCTATCTGATCCACCTCTCCCACCAAAATCACCAAAATCTCCCCTATCCGATCGACCTCTACCACCAAATCCTCCCCTACCTGATCTACCCCTACCCCCAAAACCACCACGGTCAGAACGACCTTCAAAGTCACCTCGTTCAGAACCTCTGCGCCCAAAACCATCTCTATCTTGCCCCCATCTTCCTCCTCGGCCTCCCCTCCAATTTCCACCTCTTCCCTGGTTATCAAAAGTGTCATTTTGCCCTTCATTACTGCCAAAGTTATTGTCTGAGTTCCAATTGCTCTTGCTGCTCCAAGAGTTTTGTTTTCCCCCAGCCTCAGTTTCCCCACTCCACTTGCTTTGGCCCCAACCTGATGATGAACCTCCACCAGCATCACTTGCTCCACCCCACTTGCTTTGACCCCAACCTGAGGATGAACCTCCACCAGCATCAGTTGCTCCACCTGACTTGCTTTGACCCCAACCTGAGGATGAACCTCCCTCCGATGTTTTTTTGCTGTTCCAGGGATCATCTTTGCCTGCCTCCACATCCATTTTACTGTCATCAGATTTCTGAGACCAGCTTTTATCTTTCTTCTGCCAATCTGAGGATTCATTTTGGTCATTAGCCCGACCACCATTCCAACCTGTATGAGATTTTCCACCCCATTCACCAGTATCTTTAGTAGCACCCCTCCATTTGGATTCACCATTGTCCCCTGATGCATTTGGCTTGCCCCAACCACTCTCTTTATCTCCAGCAGAGGATACATTTTTATCCCAACTATCTGCTCGACCACTATTCCAACTCCAATGGTTTCCCTTCGATGCATCACCACTGAAGCCATGTTCATCTGTATTGCCTTTTCCCCAGTTGGAAGTCTCGCCCTGACCAAATGACCTTCCCCTACCAAATTGACCTCTTCCGCCTCGACCACCTCTTCCACTTCTTCCACCTGAACCACGGGCCCTGCCAAATGATTCTGACCTCCCCCAACTCCCACCTTGATCAGTATCACCTTTATTTTCAGTTGAACCAACCTCTTTGCTCCAAGAAGCAGATCCTCCATCCGGTTTACTCCAAGAAGATCCATGACCTTGCTTGCTCCAAGTGGATCCTCCGTCCGGTTTGCTCCAAGAGCTGGATCCTCCGCCCGGTTTGCTCCAAGAATTGGATCCTCCATCCGGGTTGCTCCAAGAGGATTCACCACCTTGCTTGCTCTGACAACTGGATCCCCCGTCCGGTTTGCTCCAAGAACTGGATCCCCCACCCGGTTTGCTCCAAGAGGATTCACCACCTTGCTTGCTCAGAGAACTGGATCCCCCATCTGGTTTGCTCCAAGAACTGAATCCTCCATCAGGTTTGCTCCAAGAACTGGATCCTCCATCTGGTTTGCTCCAAGAGGATTCACCACCTTGCTTGCTCTGAGAACTGGATCCCCGGTCTGGTTTGCTCCAAGAACTGGATCCTCCATCCGGTTTGCTCCAAGAACCAGATCCTCCATCCGGTTTGCTCCAAGAACTGGATCCTCCATCCGGTTTGCTCCAAGAACTGGATCCTCCATCCGGTTTGCTCCAAGAGGATTCACCACCTTGCTTGCTCTGAGAAGTGGATCCTCCATCCAGTTTGCTCCAAGAGGATTCACCACCTTGCTTGCTCTGAGAAGTGGATCCTCCATCTGGTTTATTCCATGAGGAACCACCAACTTGCTTATTCCCAAAAGATTCACCATCTTGTTTATTCCAAGAAGATCCACCATCAATGACTCGTGCACTTTGGTTCCAAGCACTTTCATCTCCTGCACCTTCTCCATCCTTTCTCGTGCTCTGCCAGTTTCCTGTCTCATGTGTATTTGAAGTCGTAACTTTATTCCAGGCATTTGCATCTGGTTGATCTGAACCACCATCAGCATTTCCCCAACCCATAGTTGGCTTCTCAGGAGCAACTCCAGAAGCATTCCAGGCTGACTTGCTTCCACTTGAATCATCTTTAATGCTCAAATTCTCAGCAGCCTGGCCCCCAGAATCCTCCTTAGGCTCCTGGGTAGTGGACTGATGAACAGATTCAAGAGCTTTTCCCCAACTGTCAGAAGCATTACCCACAAAACTTGTACTAAAAGCTCCTTTCTTACTACTGTCTTCTTTGTTTCCCCAATTAGCAACCTGTCCACCGTCACCAGAAGTTTGTCGAGCTGCTGCAGCTGCACCCCATGATGGACCTTGACTTGGAGTAGGTTTAACCTCCCAGGAAGAGTGACCTGCATCCTCATAAATAAGATGGGAACATAAGTAGAAATCGTAATGATATAAAATTTACAAATGAAGTCTTTAAACTACAAATGCAGCACCATTGCTGTGAATCATGCAACTACATAAAATCATATAAAACCCAGCAAGCCAACCAAAGATTTCCCACCAAAGCTGACTGATGAGAAACTTGGAAGAAACAAACCAGCTAAGTCTCTCACTTACCTGCTTAGCTGAACCACAACTGCTAATTTGGAACATTACAAGCCCATTGTTTTAAAATGTAGTACATTCAACCATACCTTTGTTGGCTTCATCCACAGATATAAGAGGATTGGAAGATTGAGCTTCTGTCCAAAGCTGTAGCATATAAAGATTTCTCAGATATCTACAATGTAAGGGGATTTTTTTTTTTTTTTGGTTGGGGGGTTGGGGGGGGGGGAATAACGTGAACTATGAACTAACCGAGGAGTTAGATGCAGGAAAAGCAGGCCAAGAGCTCCTGAAACATGTGACAGTGTTATCAGATTAAAATCAGCAGCTTAGCAGCGAAACAGATGAAAGCCACACCCCAGAGTCGTTGAATGAATTTAGATCTACCATACTGATTTGACAAAATGCTCAACAATTTGTCATCATGCAAAAGGTTTTACACACCATAACTTGAGTTGCCTTATACATCACTAAGTTACAAGTTGGATCACCCAATTATTTCTCTAGCCTAAAATAATGCAATGACAACATAATATCACATGGGTATAAAGTTGAAAATAAAGTTCAAAATTAGATTATCCAACAAAAATGTGAGTTAACTTGTATTGAAGCAATATTCATGTTCTGCTAAGTGAATCACAAATTAGTATCCAGGTTTCTCTTATTTTTCACAGATTTACAAGGCCATGAAATTACTGTTAGCATACAAAAAAATAAATAAAAGGAATATCAAATTTACATTAAGTTCAATATGTTAATAAAAGTCATGATAATAATCAAAATTATAGCAGTCAAGTATGTGCAGAATATGAGGCAGTTCACAATTAAATGGACAATAATTAGCAGGCTCGCCTCTCACCTTTCTGTAGAAAATCCTTCTGCATTCCAATTTCCACCTCCTGCTGCTTTAGCTGTCCCGTCCAACCAATCTTTAGATAAGCATATATAAGTTAGAGCATACAACAATTTTTTTAAATAAACGACAATCAACCACAAGTTAACAGATGAAGGCAAGAAATGGAGTCTAAGAAGTAGAATGAATACATATGCAAACTTTCAATACCTATAGGTAAAACTAAAGAAATATAGAAAACTACTCTACAAGATTTATGTCGAACACTCTAAATAACCCATGTCCACATCACTGAAAATATGAGAAACAAAATGGCAATTACAAACATCAGGCACATAGAGTGACCAACTGAAAGCCACTCATGTTTATACAATCAGATTAATTATTGTTACATTTGTTATCTTACAGTGAAACTTTCATAGTTATTTGAAGTTTCATGACATCAGATCGCAGCACATCCTAAAAAAGTGTTGGTTCTGGTAAAATTCCTTTGATTAAAATTTTCCTCTAAAAATTGCCTCTCACAAAGAGAGTTATCAAAAGTTGTCTTTGTAATTTTCACTTGGAATTTATCCATGAAAGTTGATTTGAATCTCTTCAAAGAGATTACATGCTTGCTTGTGAAGTGGCTACTTTGTCAATTCCCCTTCTGTTCAAACAATTTATAAGGGCATGCCTAACAGCCAGCTCAAAATCATAAACTTACTCCCTTCAAAAAGGACTTCCACAGAAGTCAAATTGCTAAATAAAACATGTGCCAGGAACCAATCTAATATCGACGCCAACCTCAATATCATAAGGAGAAAGAACATGAAAGAAGAGATTACTGTCTACTATTATAGTAGATAATTGAAGCTTTTCAACTAAAACATACTAACATACAAAAAAAGAGGGTACTCGTTTCAACCTGTTGAGCCATCCTGTGTACCAAGGAGATCAAATGGCCTTAAAGAGTCAGATTCCTCCCTGTGGTAACATAAAACAGACATTAGAAGACAAATACAGATACAAACCCTAGATGATAGACATTAATTCAAAAACGATAAATAAGTACCCCAAAGAAATGCCAGAACTTTTTGCACGAACCTCCGCAAGATGCTCACATTTAACTACAAACAAATTATAAAGACACATTAATTTAGGTCAACAAGGTTTAGTCGAAAACTATATATATACATATATATGATTCATCCAACCTGTAAGTATTTTATGCTGAGAGTCAAGCTTCACAGTGATGTCAGACCGCCGTATTGCCAACACACGACAAAGGTACCCCTTCAATGGGCCCACACGGATTCTAAGTGATTGTCCCACAGAGAACATTGTATTGTTTTCCCTGTTGACTACATAGCAACAAACATTTCAAGCAAAAGTATTAAAACTTTGAACAGTCAAAGACTATGAAAGCGGTAAGAATGTTCACATACAGTTTCGGCTACCATCCCTTCCTTGATCAGATTGCTTAGGCGAGAGAGGGGACTTAGGAGAAGAAGCAAAATCCCCAAATACTACAGTTTCCTGTTCACCACCCTAATCCAAAAAAGAGAGCACAAATTAGCATGAAAGATAATGTGTCAACAAAATGCAGCAGTTCTATCCATTCAACCCATTCTTTCTTTTTTTTTTTTCAGGTTGGCTTGCATATATTGTTTGTTCGAAGCAGGTGGAAGGGAAATAAATTGGACTTGCGCAGAAGTTAATCAGACATTTTCTGGGACAAAATCAGATGCTGAACAAAGGAAATGACCATGAGATGCGACAAACAGGCTTAATTGTATATTTTGTAAAAGGTACAAAAGTTGTGCATATTTATGATATCCCAAGCCATAATGAAATTGTCTTAGAATGTGTAATAATAGATGAGGATAATTGTTTTTTTCACATCCTAATCCTTATCAAAATCAACAGGAATTTTTTGCTCTTTTTTTTCTGAGAAAAACATACATTCATAAGCCCTCATAGCATAATATACATAAATGGATACGCAAATAAACCTTTTAAACTATTCAAGTGACAAATGAAAACAGAATTTGCATCACCATTGGACAAATTTACACCAAAAGAGGAACTAGAAAGGGCTATGCAAGCAGAAGCTTTTTCATCCACATACACAGCATGATGTACCGTGCTACAAGCGTAAGAATTCTTGTGTCTCTCGGAACTCATTACAATCTCATATTGCATATATCCTCCAAATAAAAGCAAGCATATAATTGTCTATGCATAAAATTCTATATTATGACATATAAAAAATTAAGACTTCAATTGATACCACATTAGTTAACATCGGGTGAGATTTTCCTGATAACTTCTTCTGGATTATCATCATTTATTAAGTGGTTAGGAATAAAAAAAATTTTACTAAACAAATGGATTCCTTCATGTACACAAATTCCATTTGCAGGTTGTGGGAAGTCATAGGTAGTCAGTCAAAAGATTTGCTACTTTCCAAATTTAAAACAAATACAAACCTTCTCATTACGTGCTTCACCAGGAAGCTCAACTTTTTCGCACAACTGTGCCTTAAAGCAAATGTAACCACTGTCCTCCTCTACGGTTTCATTGTACAAGAAAATAATCCCTCTGTAAATTTTCTTGACAATGCCTTCTCTATCCTGTATAGTATAAGCAAATCAGCAACCAAATAACCTAAGTCGTATAGTGTCACTTGAAATGCAAAATTTTTGTTAAACCTTCATTGGACCATCCAAAACTCTGACTCTGTCATTAATTGATATATTCTTCATTTTCTGATCAAGTGCTGTGAATAGCTTCTTATCGAATGATGCATTCTTTAACTCCTTCCGTGGAATAGTGACAACTACTGGTCCCTCTGAGCCCTCCTTGATAATCTGAAACAAAAACTATAATGTTAAGTCACTGGCAGTAAAGTGACCACATAAACTGAGAGGTATACCTTGAAAATCTCATCCTTCTCCGTGCCAATGACAACACCAAAATCCTTTCGACTGCAATCGCAAAATTCCCAGGTTACACCAAAATAAGTTAATACTCATACTAGAAGAAGCAATGGCAAAGCCAACGTGGAAATAAGCGATAACCGCACTTACCCCAAAAAAACTAAATCATGCACTTCAAAATCAGTGTCCAGGCTTGGCGTTGAAGAACCTTCACCTTTTCCACCACCTTTGTCACTAAGTAAAGGACGTTTCTTTTTCTGTTCGCCATAAAGCTGGGATAACCACTCTAGATCATTGTATTCTTCATTCCTTGAAGGCTCAAATTTAAGAAGCTCATCTTCTGTAGGTGTTACTCCCCAAAAGCTTAACGAGTCAATGGATACTTTCTTATACAGATAGCCATCCTTCAGCATCATCCCATCAAGAACCTCAAAGACTTTGTTAGTATCACGGTCCCGTCGACATTGAATCAGAGGCCGGAACTCTCTTTACATATACAATATGGGAAATATCAATACCACAAAAACTTTATTTAAAGACCAAACAAAAAAAAAAGAACATATACATATAGCACGCAAATTACTCGAGTTCACTATTGCTTATGAGTCTTGGTGCCGGATTAGCAGTCTTGTTGGCAGTAATTCCTCTACCCTGTACATGCATGAACGATACAAATCATAACGTAACAACCATTTGGTGCCAACAGTAACATAAAAGGATGCAAAAGCAGAAGCATATTAATGCAGCAAATAGTAAAATTATTTAAAGCATATTAATGCTGCAAATAGTAAATTATTTATCACAAACTTCAAGAGTAATTTTTGTACTAGTAATTTCTAATTGCTCAATCTTGTCAAAATTTAGACATGGTGGGGAGAAGGGGGAGATCCCCAATGTTCCTTGTCAATAACAGGCCTTTTTTACCCATAAGGAAAAATAAATTACTTCAAGTAAGATTACCATAAAAAGACACATTAGTGAGAAGGATCTTACAAATTTCTCAGCCAATGCTTTCAAGTCTATCCTAGGAATCAGCTTCACGGTCACTTTCTTCCGTGCAGAATTTACAGCCACAACCTACATATATATAATAGAAACAGCTAGAAATCAGTGAAACACAAATCTTAAAGTTAAAACTAGAAGAATATGGGAGAAATACCAAATGAAGACCGGAGAAAAGAAAAAAGAAACTGGCCAAAGATCAAACATATCAACAGGAACAAAACCATACCTGTGCTAAATCACCTTTGTATTTCCCATTCTTAACACGTGCCCACATTCCCTCAGAAATTCCATTACTCTTGTTTTTAACAGAAAATAAATGATTAATGTCCTCCTTTGGTACAGGTGCAACGCGACTTGAATATATGCTACACAGCCCATTACACGCCTGTATTGTGGGTATTTAGTCTCCAAGTAAGCAAATGAACAATTTTAGTAGCATAAGAAGCAACCAATAGAAACACGGACATCCAATTTATTTGGAGAAACACAAAAACTGCAAAATTCAGAAGATCAACGGAAGAACAAATGACTACCTCATTAATATCACACTGCTTCTCTGCTTCGATATAAATAAAACCCTTAACGTGATCAATTGTAAATGCAGAAATTATCTGCAGCTTCTTTCCCAGAAATTGCAAGTCCACGTATTTCTGCATGAGGCAGAAGGCTGAATGCCTCTCACGTCCAACCTATGGCCCATCAATTGCTCATGAGCAAAATGATGCAAAAGAAAAGAACTTCATAGCTTGAAAAGAAAAGGAATCTGCTTTAAAACTTGAAAACTATGATGTCACAATTTTATACCATGCATTTGACTTTCCAGATGATTGGATCCTTAACAGAAGGACAGTGTTCAGGCATTTCCACCGTTCTTTTGCTCTCGTAATTGTCTTCTGCATATGTCACAAAAGTAGAGCCTGGTTTGTATCGTTCCTGTAACATCTTTTCAAGTTCTTCTTCTGTTGGTTCCTCCACTTTGGGAACAAAAGGCAGAAAGGGGGCTCTGCTAGGTTCAGACTGGAATTGCATTGCTGCAGCTGCTGTGTCAAATTCATCTTCCAGAGAATCTAGTTTCAGCAAATGGTAACAAATTAGATTGACAAGCATGAGTACAAGGAACCTAACAATCAACAGAAGATTCATTAGTAAATATACCAACAGGCTTGATGAAAAAATCAACCAGGAATATGCTAGGAGAGCCAGCACACGAAAATAACAAGAACCATCGGCACATTTGGATAAGATAAAAAATAACAGGTAGAGTGAGGACTCCTTAGCGACAAGCAGAAAACGAATAACGTATAAATGAATTGCTTAAAAGAGGACCATTTTCGGCAAACGAATAACGTATAAAATAATTGAAGCACAGATGCATGCATATTTACAGCATAATAAAGTCACAGTTGCAAGAAGTTAAGCCTAAGAGTGACCACAAACACCAAATGAACATACATGCCATTTCCCTCTCTTTGTTAATAAAATACAATTTTCAAGAAATGCTACCTCATTTTCACATTTAATGGGTGGAGAACAACAACAAAAAAAAGTCAGTGGTCCATCAAAATTACATCAAAATATCACAATTCAAAAACCACATTAATAAAAATGCATATCCTCCTTCTATATGATAAATAAACCCAGCAACAACAACAAAAACCGCTAAGCAAAAGTTCCCCAAAGCATCATGAACGCAATTTAAATAAGCCAACCTTACCGGCAAACTAAAAAAGAAAAAGAGAACAACATAATTCTGCACACCCCGAGCAAACATGCTTTTTCAGTGAGCTTTAGCATTTATTTTCTTTTTCTTCATTCACCATTGAAAGTACACAATCGATTATTTACCTTAAAAGATGCACGCAGAAATGCCAAATATCATCACTATATTTCAGCTAAAATCCTTCAATAAAACACAAAATATCAATAATGTTTGGGAAAAAAGCATATCAACAATCAACTAGAGCCAGCATTGCCGATTAAAAAACCCTAAACCCCCAATCATCACATGTCGCAAACAAAATTAATCTAAATTTTCACTTCCCACACCAAAAAAACCCTAGCTTTTACCACACTTTCAAAAGGTAAAAATAAAAAGAAAAGAAAAACAAATAAGAAGAATAAATATAGTCCATGCAAGTGGGAAATGTCGATGAAAAAGTTCAAATATACCATCATCGAAGAATGAGTCGTCACTGGCATCATCCTCATCAACTTCGTAAGCGGCATCGTCAAAGAACTGAAGAACGCCGCGATTCTTCCGTTTCCGACCACCAGTTTTGCCGTCGTCACCACCGCCGATGTTACGCTTCCTCTTCCCCGACGAGCCTTTGCCGCCGTCAATGACCTTCTCTTTACCCTTCGCCGATGGGGCCATTCCTGAGGGCACTTTTATCCCTTCTTTTTTGTTTTAATAATTAGTACTAGTATTTATCATCTGCTGAGAATTCTACAGCTGCTCGTACGAACTCACGCAGAATGAGTGAGTGACACATTGAATAGTGTGTTGTGAAACGCTTTCTTCGGAGAGTGGAATCGTGAGCTATACACATAGGTGAAGAGTTTTTTTGCGGTTAAGGTCCTTAGTTTATCGGTTATTTTTCAATAACGCTTTTATTTAGAGAAAATTACTGTAGTGCCATTTTTTAAGGTCTATTTCGTTTTCCTGACTTGTGTTATGTTATATTCAACCCATCTAGGGGTGTAAATGAGCCGAGCTCGAGTCAAGTTTTGGCTAATTGAGTCGAGCTTGAGTTAATTTTGTGAAACTTGAACTCAAGCTCGAGCTCGACGAGCTCAAAATATCAAGCTCGAGCTTAAAAAATAAAAAAATAATAATTATTATTTTATTTTTAAAAAATAAAAAATAATTATTTATTTTTAAAAATAAATAAAATAATAATTTTTTAACAAATAATAAAATATTAGGGATATATATATAATTTTACTATTAAAATAAAAAATAAAAAATAAAAAAAATATATATAATTGAGCTCGCGAGCCAACGAGCTTAATGTTTTTGAGTTTGAGCTCGAGCTCGAGATCGACTTAATTAGCTCGAGCTCGTCAATAGCTCGACTCGAACTCGATATTGACGAGCTCGAGTCGAGCTCGTATTCGGGCAGCTCGCGAGCGGCATGGTCGCGAGCGGCTCGATTCGTGAACACCCGTTCCCATCCCACCTGCCTTGTACTAAAAGTTTTGGTAACCAGCGGCCGGTAGCTACTAGCTAATAGGCTACGATTAAGCGACAGTTCTCCGTCTACCACACAAAGAGTAGATAAAAACAATACACTATTTACCTACTTAGAGTGCTTTACTTCTTATAAATTTTATTTGAAAAGTAATATTCTATAATTTGTTAGGATAGTTAAGAGTTGTAATATCAGCAATCATATTTCGCACACTTTTGTTGGATTTTTGAAGATGAATAAAAAAATCTGAAATCTATTAAAATAGTGAATTGTTAAATACTAAATTTGATACATTTGATTGTATATTACATTAAGTGATAAGTGAATAGTTTATCACTTATTTTTTAGAGTAAATTTTATTTAAAAATTTGGGTGCCACTTAAATGAATTTAGATGTTCTAGTTTTGGTTATCAAACGCATCTGAATATGTTAAAATCTAAACTCATTATATTTAAATATTGAATTAGATTATCAAATAGGGCGTTAGAGTGTTGTACATCTTATAAATTTTATTTCAGAAGTAATATTCTAAAATTTATTAGGATAGTTAAGAATTGTAATATTAGCAATCATATTTCACACACTTTTGTTGGATTTTTTTTTTTTAATTTAAGGAGAGATTCCTTTGTTTGGACGGTGGACTATTTGTAAGGAGAAAAAGGCAAAAGAAAAGATTTTAAAGGTCCAGCCACAAATTTCAACTGAACTAAGTCTTGGTTACACTTCTATTGGTTTCATTATTGTGATGGTGCATAACAATTACTACAAAAAACTGCAGAAAATTGATACCCAAAAACATTTAGGGTCCGTTTGGTAGGGTGTAAAATGCTTTCCATTGGAAGACATTTTCCTTGAAAGTAATTTTCTGGGAAAATAATTGTTTTCTTCATTGTTTTCCTGTGTTTGGTTCAATTCTCAACAAGTGAAAACCGCTAGATCAAATTGGGGCCTATGACTGCTAGTTTTCCTTCATTAGCAATCTCCATCGCATGCAACATCACGCTACCACAAAACTCCCCAGAAGCCCTCAGCCCTGTGCAACAGTTACAACAGCCCCATGGGCGATTCGTGCTCAACCCGTAGACAAATAGGCAAACGGAACGAGACAAGCAACCCGTGACACCTGGAAAGTGACCATTTGTATCGAAGCATAAGCCATCAGAATTGAGAAATACCACCACTTTATTGGCCTTCTTTCTCCCCTCTCCATTCCATTGCAACTTTCTCTATTGGGCTAATGGTAGCTTCTCACTTTCTTATTGCTGATCTTTGTCCTTCCTTTCTTTCTGTCAAGACCACAATTCCTCTTGATTTCCGCAGATCTTAGTCTTATTTTGTAAGCATCCGGTGAGAATATGTCAATATATGCTTGTCTTTGAATGTGCAACGGTGGGAGAAAAAGGGATACACATATGATATGGAGAAGAAGCGAAAGGTAATTGTTAGTGTTACAATCCCTTGAATTTTACTCGTAGGCTACATTTTTTTCTCCCTATTCTTCTATTTGTCAACTATCAAAGAGGTAGTAATCTAGCGTGATAGACATTGGTGTTTGTCCGGTAAGATTGGACAACGGGCGTAGACAGCGAAAATTAACTTCAACAAGTTTTTTAAGGAAGTTATTTTACACTATAAGGCGTAAAATGTTTTATACAAGAAAATATTTTCATGTACCATAATACAACCAAATGCAGGAATTCAAGGAAAATATTTTCGGGAAAAGGTTTTCAGTCAAAACAAACATACCCTTAGAAAGTCAAGCAGACAATTACATCGCTTAATTGAAGCCAAGAAGACCACGAAAATTGCAATGCCCAAGAATGCACCTACAATAAAAGAGGAGGGGGGGGGGGGGAACCAATGACTTTCTGTTTATTTCTGGTCAGCTGAAGAAACCATTGCGATTTCCTTCTCATTGGCTTCCATCTCATCTCTAAACTTCATGTATATATCTGACTTGTAATATTCCCGAGTCCTCATTGCCAAGATCAGAGAAATAAGAGCTCCAAGAGTGTTAACGCCGGCTAATATTAGAAAAGATGTTCTGTAACATTGAGTCCCAATGCAAGTCAAGTCAGGAACCATTGATCTTGTCAGGCCCGCCCTCGCAAGTTGCTTTAAAGCCTCTTTATCATAGAGTTTTCCCACAATCCTCACATTGAGGAAGTATGATCCAATAGGGCTGGCCAATTGTCCACAATTCAAGAGAGTGGAGTAGTACTTCAATCCAAAAAGTTCAGATATAATCACGAAAACCATGGTTAACTGGACGCCATAAGCAAATCCAACCAATACTGATGCAATGTAAACAGAACCAGGAAATGGCAAGGCAATAATGAGATCTCCAATGGCAGGCACCACAAGGGATATCGTCATCATTAGAGTCCGCGGAACTTTCCACTTCCTCAACAGTTGCTCAGAGCCAAAACCCGAAAGAGCTCTGCCAAAATAGTTCCAGATGCTAAGTAGGGAGACAAATGTGTTAACTGTCTTAGTTGGATAGCCTAAGGATTCACCAATCTGGCCTAAATTATCCACTGCTGCTTGACTGCAACCAAGCCCACAAAATGTGACAATGAAAAGAATTATCATGTCAGCACTTAATAAAGCTTGACATATGGTATAATCTTCACCCCTTTTGGGTTTGTTGCAGATGTCTCCACAGCAACAACCTTCTTGACGGAATTCATCATCCCCTCCTCCTTTATCTGTGGTACAATGTGCAGGGACAATTTCCTGCTTTCTGGGGTTCGAGGACTCGGGCAAAGGCGGTTCCTCGGTAACTACCCTGTTAGGGGGTTTTAATGCATCTTCCTTCTTTTGCTGCCAAGTCTCTAATTCTTCTTTCACTGCAACCAGGAATGGAAGGAAAAGCAGAACACAAACACCTGTTGCACTTGCTACATAATCAGCGTGAGAGAAATTGAAATAGTTTTGACCGATTGTCAGAGCCATCAGGGTCAGTGCCAAACCCACTGTTATGATGAGATTTTGATACATAACCTTCACCTCGTGGGGATGACCACTAATCTTCTTCATTTCCTTGATGCAGAAGAGGAAAACTAAAGAAATCACTGCTGGAAGCCAACCAATAAGAAGGATCATATCTTTGGCATCATTATGATAAATTGCAAGATAAAGCTGTGTAAAAATTGCACCACTAAGCCCTACAAATCCCTTCATCAGTCCTAACATCATCCCCCGACGTTCGGGGAAATTTTTTACACAGGGAACAAGGGATCCCGTGTTTGCAAAATTCTGGGAATTCGCACCAATGCATATATATACACACATTTGCCAAACTGGGGGTTTTGGTATTCTTTTGGTCACTGCCAGCCATACTAGGAAATAACCAGAAAAATTCATAAGAGCACCAACCAAGAGAACAAACCAGGATGGTGTTACCTCGGCTAATAATCCCGACAGCACTCCAATTGTCGCTCCTAGATCTTTGCATGAGCCAAGAATATTGAGTGTTGATTGATCATAGCCAAGGCTGGATTTTATCGCTTTTGAATATGCACCAAAAATGTAAGTTGCACCGGAGCCAGACATGATCAAGAATGTAGCAAACATCATGAACCATCTGCCCCGAAGAAATTGAACCATGAAACCACACAATCCACAGCCATGACTGGATGGTAGCACCGTGGTTTCAGCCATGCCCTTCTCTTCTACTGTGCTGTGCTTTCTTTGGTAGTTGCTAATAAGAGTAATATGCCTGGCTAATCGAATAAGGTAGTTAGCTAAGAATACGATAGTAATTTATTGTTTGAGAGAGGAAAAGTGCAAGAATATATATCCGATTTTGCATTCGATATTGGATTTTCCAGATAAAGATGTAGTTTGAGTGAAATAGATGGCAGTTCAGATAAACTAGAATGACGAAGTCTATGGGAATAAAAGACAGATATTCAGCACGTTCATTTATCGTATTCGTGGAGATTCTTTGTTTCTCTTATTGCCTTTGGGTAAATTTAGACTAGAAACAATTTTTCGTTTTCTGCCAAATAGTAGAAACAAATATAGTACAAAATTAGGTGTAAATTAGAATGAATCTGTGATTAAATTGAACTTAATTAGTTAGCAATCTCGTATCACAGCATTAAATAGCAAACCGGTCACGAAAAAGATAATAATGACGTAACGATAATAATTTGATAAGATAGCTTACCCAAAAATATGAAAATAAATAGAATGATAAAATAAAAGGAAAGTAGAAAACCAATTACAAATGAAACGGTCTGTAGGGTCACTCGTTAAAATGTATTTCAGGCGTTAGATTTTTAGAAATATAAGAAGATTAATTAGGGAAAACATATAAATGGAAGGGGATTATTTAGGAAAAATGTATAAATGCAATAGAAAGTAGTAATTGTCAGTGCATTTATATATATAGTAGATTGGATGGAATGTAGGTATGTTAACCCTATGAAATTTCATAATTCTAAAAATTTTAAACTAAAGTGTATGTCATGACAAAAGAAGAGAAATTTAATCTTCGTTGCATGATTTGTCAAACAAATGTAACAGCCACCCGTTAAAACACCTAAATTAAATTATACATAACTTATTATATTAACAATACATACCATCACAATTAATCTACCTCTGCATTTAGACACTTTTTTCATATTAAACGCACTTCTTTAAAAATTAATGCATCCGTTAACCAAAGAATTAGTTATATTATTAAAGAGATTGCTCGTTTCTCTTAATATTTATAATCATTTCTCTTAATGAAGCATATGATTCACTTACCAAAATTTATTGTAGAAACGAAATAATAAAGATGACGGGGATTCATCATCATTGATGACATCCCAATACGATTTTATACCATATACTGAAGTTATTGGCGAGTCAGCAGCACATTAATTTTAAGCTATCTTGTGCAAGGAAGACAAACAAATATTGGTAAGTATTAATTGCAAATTTCTAGTTTTCTTTTTTTTTGGCCAAATTTGAGCTCTCTGGAGTAGGCAAATTTGATGTGGTGCAAATCTAGTAGTGGTACATTGCATGCTTTTAGATCTTAAGACTAAGTTGAGATTTACAACTTATTGAGAAGCCAGAGGCAATCTATTTGTCCTTTGTAGCTCCAAAAATATCAAATACATTCTAGTATGTATACCGTGATAAAAATATGTCTTGCAATTGAATTTACCGGTTAACATTTTTCTATATTGTACTAAGGGTCGGTTGATTATTTTAATTGATTACAAATTCTGATTTCAGATAATCAATTTTTTTGATGTTCTCGATTGTTTTTATATCTTGATTGTTTAATCACTAGAAAAGATAAAATCCATGATTACCCAAATAGTAGTTTTTACTGAATAATCAGTTTCTATAATCAAATTTTGTTATATTTAAAGCAATCAAGAATAAGGCCTAATATTAATACCTTTCTCATGAAGCCGGAAATGGACCTCAGAATATCCGACCAAAAAAGACATGCACACACACAAAAAAGAGGATTTACATTAAGATAGTCAACAACCAAATGCTACCATTTTATGAACTACATCTGATGATCATGGAGCAAGCACGACACATTTTGTAGTAATAAAGTGGTTTAATTGCCACATAGCGCAGTCTTCCTGACACGTACAATAAGTTGTGTAAACTGGCTTTTTTTTTTTTTGGGTCTTTTTCAACGACTAAATCAATGGGCCAACAATTGATAATTCCGCAGCTATCTAGCGTTTTTTTGTGCAAGTCACGTAAAACAAACGTTAGTGGCAAAAGTTCTTTTGTTTGGCATGATGTTTTGAGCATTTTCATTTAGCCTAGAACAAATATGGTACAACAAATATTTCATCGTATATTAAAATTTTCAGACTGGGTTAAGATTTATTTAGTACAGATAGTTGTTTACAGACCAGCAAGCGAGACAATGACCGTGAGTGTGACTGACCCGAAATTGAGGCTTCATTTTCCGCAAATCAATACGCCTGAGGGGTGCAGAAGATTCAAGCTTCTCCACTCGAGTTAGAATTTCGAATTCTTGTACTCGAATACTCAAAAGTTTAGCGAGTCTAATCGAACTTTTAATACATACATACATATATATATTAAAATTTTTATATTTATTGTTGTGAAATATTGATTATATCATTTATTTAAAATTATATATAAAATATTAATTTTTATTAGACGAGCTCGATTGGACTCAAATAAGTTCAATTTAGCTTGATTAGGTTTAATTAAACTTGAATTCGAGTTCGAGCTAGAATAAAGTAAATTGAAATCGAACTTGAATTTAAGTCACCTCGAGTTGACGTCGCGTGATGCACACTGTTAGATTGCGATTGGACAAGAATGCATTCCTAGTCGATTCATCCTCTGAACTCTCAATTTTGGGCTTGATAGGTCAGCCTGCCCAGTTGAAAATGAATGGCGGATCAAAGAACACTGAGTCGGGCTTCCTAGTCCTAGCCAAAACCATTAAAGGCTCTTGGATCATTTTCATGGGCTTTTCGAATTAGGGGGAGGCTGAGATATTTACCATGTTTCATGTGACCACGTGAAATTGTGCCTTGTGATGTTAAATTTATTTTAGAAAGAAAGTGCCATTTTTTGAATGTACTTTTAACTTGGTTGAGAATAAATCCTCCCAAAAAAAAAAAAAAAAAAACTTGGATGCGACTAGCTTGTGAAATCGGTTTCGATCTTGATTTAGACAGGGGTAGATGCTAACGCACAATTGTAGAAGTAACCAATTAAAGGATTCAAAAGCAAAATCTCAAAAAAAAAAAAAGAAGCAAATCCAATTGACTTGGTTGAACCAGGTTATCACTTGATTTACGGGTACGTTCCTTTTATATTCTAAACTTCAGCGACAGGTAATGTGCTTATATATTCTCCTGCCTTCAATTTCCGAGTTCTTACAGTACAAAAATTGACCTGACAAACCTAAACCAATGGATTGAATGGGGTCAATTGATCTAAAACCTACTGTCCAACATATCGATATCCATTCCCAGATGAATCGTACGTAGGGCAGACTTACGTGAAGACGTGGATGAGGGCAATGAATATGGACAGGCCGACTACATGGGAATGGATATGTCTCATTGGTTAAACGAGTGGAGTAGTAATTGTCACCATGTCTCATTCCCACCATTCCTTTCTTGTTTTTGTTTGTCTCCTCTATAACTTGATTACCGTTGGAAGAAGGAACTTCTAACTATTCCAGAAGAATAAGAGTACTCACTATTTCCACTCGAAGGATCTGTGTGTACGTGGTAATTTGGACCCCAAACAGAGCAAAAAGTCCCGCAAGAATCCATTAAATTATGGCAGAGAGATATGCATATCAATTTTCAAATCCCAATTATTTCAATGGCTCTGCCATCCGAAATCTCTTGATTCCAAAACATTCATTGGACTGCAATAAGATGCTGTACCAATTTACACGCCAGCACAAGTTTTCGAACGTCGCAGTCGACGTAAGGACTGTGTTGGTAGATGATGAATCTCTATAAGTAACCTATAGTCACACAAACACATCCTAACCTGTAGTAGTAATCCGAGCCAAACCTACCAAAATTTTTCATTACTCCAAAAAAAAAAAAACAACTTACATCCCTTTTCGGCCACATAGGCATATCAAATTCGTTGAGTTGCTTGATTATTGAAGATATCACATACTGATTTGGTGCTAATTTAATATCGAGGCACCCTCTTGAATCTTGATAATTAAATGACAAAAGGGTTCGTAGAATTGCAGAACTAACTCCAACCGCAGGCATGCTTTTCCAGCATCTAGTCTCTATAGTGGATGTGAGATACTAACTGCTGATTAAATGCCATCCAAGCAAAAATCCAAATCATTTCATTTTCGGGGCCAATTGTCCACTTATGCCACTTTCCACGGCCAAGGCACATCTGCAATTTCCCTGAAAACGGGAAGAAAAGACATTAGGAACGCGTGATATGAAGCTTGTGTTTGGTAATTTAACTTCTGTCAGAGCACAAAATCATCCCTTTCAGACCGGCTTCATTGATAAGTAGGCATTTTTAACCCATAAGATTTTAAAAAAGGTGATAAAGACACGTAATATAACTATTATAACATCCTTACTTTTTTTTTTTTTTGGAACAAGATAGGATCTATTCTACACCTATTCCTACTCTATATTAGGAAGAGGAGGAATCTAAAAAGGTCCAAAGAAAATTCGAAGGGGACTGAGTCCAGACGAGTGCCTATGCATCGCTGACAAATTTTTTCAGAAAAAACGGAATTTTTTAACATGTACTTGGTGACCAACTACTCTAGAAGTGGTTTATTATAACGTCCTTACACTAAAGCAGACATGCTCATGGATTACCATATAAATCCGTAACCTGAAATCTGTAACATTGGCCAATGAATTCTCACTTTGATGGTAAAAAAGAAATGAAGGGTTGAGTTTTTTTTTTTTTGAAGGAAAAAAGAAAATCTTGTCTGATGCCAGAGTAACTCTGAGTCGACATCAGCCTTGTATAATGTAACACGGTTTCTCTGAATATTCAAATTTCATTCACTTGCCGGTTGCCGACCAAAGCAACCAGCCAACCATTAATATTCTTTAATTTGGGTCGCTGCACAATTGGGGGGCCATGACAGAATCTGCAAAGGAATTGAGAAGAGAACGAACCATCAAGTCAAACAAGGTGAAAACGATCTTCATCATTCAACACTGTCACTGGACATAGACTCGTGGACTCGAAATAAATAGTGATTGCAGAAGACTAAAAAGAGCCCAGACCCCATCTGATTTAATTAAGCAATTGTTTGAATTTTCAAGTCAAACAAAGTAAGTAAATGTTTACGGAATTGAAACTAAAACTAAGAAGAAAAATATTTTGCATGATACTAAGCAGCAGAATACCCAATTTCTTCTTCTTTTTCTATAGTGCAGTGGAGACTTGGAATTTGGAAACAGAGTGGATTGCGGTGGTTGCAAGCGGAGTCCAGATATTTGACAACCAAAAACAGACAAGGTTTGATAATTGGAGACTTGAGGGAATAGAATGATTGAGAGTCGAACCCGGATATTTTTCTTTACAAGCAAGAAAAAGAAAAGGATTGTAATTATCAGCTGGTTCGACTTTAAGCTGGGGTAACGTTAATTGTACCTGCCTGTAACCTACACAAATTCTACGTTGACAAATTACAATAATATTTAGTCTATTCCTTGTTACGGCTTGGAACAACGGTGCCATTTCCGGGCAATGCCATTTCAGTCTCGGCCGCCTTGGCTTCCTCCCTGAATTTCTTATAGATGTCGCTCTTGTAAAAGTTTCTAGTCCTCGACACCAAAATCAATGAAATCAGCGCTCCAAAAACTGTTACTGCAGTAATGATGATGAAGGACAATTTGAAGCACTCTACTCCATCGCAATTCAGATCTTCTCCGTGCTTCCTCTTCAGTCCCAACGCGTTGAGTTGCCTCTCAGCTTCCCTGTCGTATAGATGTCCAGCGACCCTCACATTGAGGAGATATGCGCCAATTGGACTGGCCACGGAGCCAAAATTGTAGAGAGTGGAGTAATATTTGAGGCCAAAAAGTTCAGAAATTATAGCAAAAAGTAATGGCCATTGAGCGCCAAAGCAAAATCCTATGATTACTGATGCAACGTATAGCCCATTTGAGACACCAAAAGCTATGAGAAGATGGCCTACGCAGGATATGACTATTATGATTGTAAGCATCAGGGTACGAGGAAATTTGTACTTGGTTAAAAAGTGCTCAGATAGGAAACCAGAAACCACTCTTCCTAGATAATTCCAAATACTCACGAGTGACACAAATGTGCTAGTGCTTCTTTTGGGGTAGCCGAGTGAAGCTCCAATCTGACCCAAGTTGTCAATTGCCGTCAAAGTACCTCCAACACCACAAATTGTTGCCAGAAACAGGATGAACATATCCATACTGAAGAGTGCCTGAAGTATGGTGAAATCCTCACCTCTATTTGGTGGCCTGAAAGCAGTTCTCCAGCAAGATACTTCCTGGATTTCTGTGGTAGGTTGTTGCTCTGTAGTATTTTTAACTGCGGACGAAGATGGTAATTCCACTTGCTTTTCTGTTGATTTTGGCTGATAATCAGCTGCAGCAGCCTGATCAGGACTGGGATTCTCAGTGATAACTTTCAGCTGAGAAATACTATCCAGGGCAGCTTTCTTTTTCCTCCACGTATCAAGCTCTTCTTGAATAACAACGGCAAGTGGTAAAAAGAGCAAAATAATGACGACAACACCACTGATGCTAAACTCACTATGGCTGAAGTTAAACCTATTCTGGAGTATAATAATTACCATGAGAAATCCAGCGAGCCCAAGTGAGACATACAAAAGTCTGTAGAAGACTTTCAGCTCGTGTTCGATTCGAACGACCTTCATGATTCGGATTGTTCGAAGGAAAGTGAAGGAAATAACTGTTGGAAGCCAGCCAATCATCAAGATCAAAGACTTGGTATCATCAACATACACTGCATGATAGAGTTGAGTGATGATTGCACCACTTAGGCCAACAAAACCTTTGAGAAGTCCAAGCACAACTCCCCGGCTTTCCGGGAAGTTCTTGACTGCTGTGACCAGGGCTCCTGTATTGGCAAATGACTGAGAATTTCCACCAATACAAATGTACAAGCACATGTGCCACACTTGGGGTTTGGATATTCTTTTGGTCACGGCTAACCAAATCATGAAGTAGCCAAAGAAATTCAGGACTGCACCCATCGACAGTACAACCCATGGTGGGGTGACTTCATTGATTAGGCCTGAGAGGACACCAACATTAGATCCCAAGTCTTTGAAAAAACTGAGTAAATTGAGTGTACTTTGGTCATAGCCAAGGGTTGTTTTGATCTCTTGTGAGTAAAGGCCAAACATGTATGTTGCACCAGCGGCAGCCATGATGAAAATGGTGGCAAAGATCATGAACCACCGGCTGGTGATGACCTGGACGGCAAAGCCACCCATGTTTGAGCAGCCACCACCTCCACCATAATTGCCAGCAAACACCATGGTTAAGTTGATATGTGTGTTTTTATTGTTTAATGCCTATTGGCAAAGACTAGGAGCTTATGGCATGCCAAGGAAGTTTGCCAGGAAACATATGACTTATTTATAGGAGTAGTTGTCTTGTCCTTAGTTTACAAGTGTTATTTGGAGAGAGAGAGGGAGGGAGAGAAAGAGAGTACAAAGACTTTATAGTTGACCATAGTATAGTTCTAGGAAGTAGGGATGCAAACAAATCGACGAGCCGTTCGATGTCGAGCTTGATCAATATCGAGCTCAACTTAATTTTTTCGAGCTCGAGTTTCAAAATTGTCAGCTCGTTGAGCTCGAGCTCAAGTTCGAATTCGAAAAAATTAAGTCAACATTCGACTCGATTAGGCCAAATATCGACTTGGTTCTACTCGTTTGCAACCCTACTAGGAAGGGTGGGTTGTAAAAAGAGATGAATATTTTGTTTGATTCTTTGGTTATATGGAAAGGAACTACCAAAGATTGTTGTATATCAATAGTTGGAGTTATACTTGGGAAGATCACATGTCAATTAAGCTTCTTATCCATGAGATTATTTTAATAATGGCGTCGTAATTGCTGCATCTTTGAGATCAAGTTGATGTTTATTTTCCATTTTGTGTTATCGGGCAAAGAGATCACAGAATTATAAATTTGAAAGATCAAGGCAAAAACCGGGCGATTTGTTTCGCTACTTTCTTTATTAGTTGTTGGTTTATCCATGCACTGATTTTCTTTCTTAATTTAATTTAATGGCTAATAGCAAAGGAAAAAGCAAGATTCATTGGGATTCAGGCACTTGACTAAATACATGATCATGGAATCAAACAATATTTTGATTCAATCCAACAGCAATATATGTGTGTGAGAAACTTAATATGAATAGTTACACCAAATCATACAATATGATCAAACTTAATAAGTCATAACTTAATATGATCAAGTCAACTATTAGTTGCACCAAATGAAGAGGACTATATATATATATATATATATGAATAGTTAATACTCTCTGCTCATTAGCACTTTCCCAGCAAGTGACCTGTTCATGCTCCATTGGTTAGTCACAAAATCATGTTAGGAGGCTTTAGATGGATTAAGCTCCAGTCTTTGTCATAAAAGCAACATTTTCTTTTATTTGCCTTAATCAGAAATAAACATTCCGTGACAGAAAAGTACAACTTTTGAGACTAATAAAAGTACCTAAGCAAAATAGAAAAGAACTAAGTAAAGAATCTGTCAAAATTTGCTGAATGGTGATGATTCTGTTAAGCTAACGACGTTGGCATTTTTTGCATAAAATTACATGCTACATTTCTAGTCCCCGAAATGTCTAATTTTTATAGGAATCTTTAATTTCTGAATTAGTATGATAAGCCATAGCACCATTTCATCACAAAAACCCACAACTTGAGCATCAGATGCTTGTTAAACTGTACTTGTACAAGATACACACACACACTAAAGAATTTAAAAAAGTGATTGGATTACTTCTCAATCGAGCTTGAAAAGTTGGAACTTTTTTTTTTTTCCCTGTTGGAGCTTCAAGCCAAAGGCTACATTAGGTGGCTTTATTAATCTAATCATTCACTGGAGCTCATAAATTTTGATATCCTTTATGGCATTATCCCTCTAATTAAGTTTCTACCCTAGCCCGACAGGATTAGATTCAATTCAATTCCAACATTGCTTTGGTTGAGAGTTTTTGTTGAACTTCCTCTCGCAGTAACTTAATTAATGCCTAGTCATATGCTTTATTTTGATTCTCATTCATGTATTGAGTCACTTTTAGAGAATCGAACTGCTACCATTATTATTCCACTTGTCTACAGACTCCATACCCTTTCATTTTCTTATCGAAGTATTGAACCATGCCTGCCAGGCCTGTCAATATGGCCGGTACATCAGCATATATACAGTTTGTTGAGATGAAACATTAATTGAGCAAAAATGGTTTCTTTTACTAATCAACTAAATTAAGGACGGAAGCTCTATATATTTTGGAATTATGAAGTTAAAGTTAAAACTAGGAAGACATGTTTAAACTGCGGATGATTGATATATGGCCCTTATACTTGCCAGGATCAGACAATACAAAAGAAAGATTTACTCAAAATTTTCATCGACTTGAAGAGCAGACAAAGGAGAAGATTAATTATACTTTCCATGTTATGATGTCCATACGGTTTTTGTGTCAACTAATTCCCCTAAAGTTCAGAATTTTCACGCTTGGGACGTGGATATTTCACCATTAGTTGCTTGCCCTTTTCTTCTTTCCGTCCTAAAAAAATGAAAATATAGTTGTTGAAAGCCTATTAAGAGGGGGAAAAAAACAAGAAATCACGATAAGTACAAACAGCCATGTACGTAACCTCCTATCATGTGGTCTTAGACAAATTCTATAAAATGAAGTGGGGCATCCACGCACTAAGGGTTGGGGGATATTTTTAGATGCATGGAAGACTTGGCTACCATAAATTCCAAGAGATAATTCATGATGAAAACCTCTAAAACGGCAAACAGTTGCTTGGGTTATTTGGGTCACTTTCTTTATAATGAGATTTGGTTACAACTATTAGTATTTCTTTTTGTTTGGTCATTTGACCTGTGTAAATGTGTAGGATGTTTAAAGCACAAAGACATGATGCCCCTCTCTATTTAACTAGAGTCTTTCTGGACTTTTTTTTTTAAAAAATATACTTTAGAAATTTGATATATGTGAGATAAAATGTCACTGACGGATTAGAGATAAATTGAATAGTACAGAAGGAAAAACGAGTGTAAGTGGGAGGTCCGGATTCGAAACTTGATAAAAGTTAACAATTAATTTTAAGATGATTAATAAATGCGTCCACGAAAAGTAAAATTTTTTTTTTAAATAACTTTGCAAACAAGGCCTAAGTTTTCTCATCACCACCGTATTTAGGGTACTGGCTTCGAAATGTATAAAGGCGTCAGATTTGTTTGGATTTTTTTCTTTTTTTTTTTTTTTGAAGGCAAAACACATAGATAATTTAATTTATGAATAAAAAAAACAAATGCTTGGAGAAAAATTGTTTGTGTATACCAATTCTCCAACCCCTCCTCTTTCTCCTCCCAAAAAAAAGATAATTTGAGAAATTATTAAGTACAGATACAGCATCCTATCGTGCAATAAATCAAATTGGTAGAAAGATTTATTGACCCGCTTCTTCTGATTTATAGATAACTTTTTTTTTTAAATTAGTAACTTTCTCCGAAGATTTTTTTTTTAACAGAACTTTCTCCAAAGAAGAGTTAGGCTTCACCATTCTATCTGCTGCCATGGCTCCACGGAATATTCTCCCGTACAATCCTCTTGGGTCTAAAAAGATAATTCAATAAAAGATAATGACAGCATTGATGTTATTGGGCTGTTTATTGAAGCAATGTGATTATTTATCTAATGAACAATTATTTTTCATTAATGCAAAGTCAGCAGAAGCCCTAACAAACCTAGAAATAAATACAATTAGGTTGGGTAGTTAGGATGCGCCTAGATCATGACATTTTGTGAAGCCTAATTCCCGGCACCAACGAGGTTTGATGAATATCACTTGCAACCCCTAAGATAACTCCTTATTTATCAGTTAAAATGAGGGTACAACGGTAAATATATTACAAAATTAACTTTTTATACACTGATAATATAGTGATTTTTTTTTATACAAATAACTATGGATGTATGTCACATATGTATAACTTGAATTTCAATATTAAATTCATATTATGTGACATGATTTAATCATGCTAGTATTAAAAAAAAATTATCCACTGACAATGTATAAAAAATATACTGTATCTTATATAATTTTTTTTAAATTTTAGACTCCTCATACAATTCACCAATGAAATTCATGCTTATTAAAATTAAAATAGTAAAGCTAATTCTTGACATGCAATTGTCTTTATGGCAAATTCGGTATCTATGCATTGTTTTTCTTTTTTTTTTTTGATAAAATAAAGTCAATATTATTAATAAATTAGTTGAAAATTTTCCAGCACGATTTACTTGACAAACCAATTTGCATTCATAGTAGAAAACACATAGAACATATTACAGATATATGTGATCTAAAAAAATCATTAGATTTAATAGAGTTACAAAATATAAAAGATTATATTGTAAATTACAAATCATCAGATCTGACCATTTGCAAGAAGTACTCGATACATATCTGTGCATGTCTTTTCCTTCATATATGCTATCAAACTAGTTTAAATTCAAAATTGATGACGAGATTTGACGAGAAAACTCAAGAAATTTTAGATCTAATATATAAATTTGAAAAAAATTCTTAGATATGAGAAAAAATAACAAAAACTAAACAAAACTCTCACTGGGATAATTTAGGAGAGAAGAAAACTCTCGCTAATAAAACACCAAGAGAAACAAAACTGTCACTAGAATATCTTAGAAGAGACTTTATTAAACAAAAAATAAAAACAGAGGAAGATGGGTAGAAAGAAGTCCAGTTATAAGCATTGTTTTTCTTGCATGTATTGAGAAGGACCAATTGAAGAAGAAAAGGTGAAGAGGAACTAAAACATTTAATCAAGTAAAAGCCAATGGTATTTCAATAAAATTTCCGAAAGAGTTGGATATATCAGGGAGATGGATAATTAAACCTATCTCCAATTTTGTGAGTGTTTATTTGTAATTTACAGTATGAACTAGTGAAGGTGGATCGCATTTCGAAGAAAAAAATAAAATGAATTCATTTTCGTGATTATCATGCTTACAATCTTTGACCATACTTGTTTACAGTATTTGACAGCATTCATATATGATACTATTGCTCTCACTTTCATCTCAACGAAAAGTGATAATTCGACAGAAAATAATAAACGAACGTGGTGATAAGTTGTTAACGATTTGATGCAAACCTTGACTCTATTACTTGCATGAAATTAGTTTGAATCTTATTGCCAAACCATTTTCAAGGATGTCAAAATTCTCTACTCCTAGGTGTATATTGGTTGATTTTTCTTGTAATATATAGATAACGGTGGTTGAACTTTATACGTACGTTTAACCTCTCATGGATCAAAATCAAGCT